TAATGTGCAACTGCAGCTCCAAAGTTTGTGACCTGTTACTTACAGTAATTTTCTTCTTACTGTAAGTGAAAATGTGTTAAACGGACAGGAATTAATTGTATTTTTGGAAAGCTTTAGTTCTAAAAGAAGAATCAAGTTACTGTTCATTACCTCAGTACCAGAGAATTGATTTGGATTTCTGTGAAACTGAGCCATATTGGCTGCAAATAGGAATTTGTTCTTGGAAGGATAACAGCAGCCAGCCTGTTAGCCTTGTTTACACTGTAGAAGGTACATAGGAAAAGAAGGGGACTCTCCTCCAGCATGCACTCCATGTAATTAAAACATGAAAAGTACTGCTAGTTTGGCTCGTTTTCTAAACAAATGTTAGAGCAAACACTCAAAATGAAGGAGAGCCAAGCCAAAGTTGCAAAATTTTCTGCTGTCAGGAATTTGTTGTATGAATTCAGACGCCTGAATTTTGGCAACTTCCTTACGCCCTTTCCATCCCAAAGAATTCAGACTTACGTGCTTATAGCTACGACTGTATTCAGCCACCCAGTGACTTAAGTGATGCTCATTTCAGAGGTGATTCAAAAATCACTGTGAGTTTTAGCCTGATTCTCTCAAAGGCTGAGAATTTCTTTGCATGTTGATGGTAGTTATTGCGTGCCTTGTGTGCCTAGGGCTAATGGTATCTATGTCTTTACACATATCCTTTCCAACTGTATGCTACTGGCTTGAACACTCCTGAAACCTGTACCTCGAAAATTTCAGGGAAAGAATCAGCATATAAATAACACAAATCATTTGGCAGAATATTTTGTTTGTTATTATTTTTGTGAGAAGATGAAAAGAAAGCATATGAACAACCAAGGAAGGAAGAAATCCTAAGATCAATAAATCACATAAGCTTAGTAAAAAATATTTGCAAAATCTACTGAAGAAAGTTTGTTGCCAATCTGTCTGACCAATAAAAAGTCTCTCGCCCTAATGGTGCTGTGCCTTGAAGGGCGGGTTCATTGGTGGCCTCCTATTTGTCTCCGTTGCTTTGTAGCTGTTCTGAAGTTCATCTCAAGAATGTCTCAGCAGCTAGCGTGTTGAGGGGTGTCTGTATGTATATACTTTGTATGCTTACATGTATACATGTATGTATATATGTAGAGAAAGAAGGAAAGGGATTCTGAAGAGGGATGCAGGTAGAACATCTGTAGGAAGAATTATATTTTCTCATGTACCCAATATAAAGTAGTCCTGAGACAGAGAGGTTTCCTAAAGCCACTTGAAAGAACTTTGACTGGCGTTTGTTTTTATAAATATATTTCTAAACTGATGCCTTGCTTGGATACTTATAAAGTAAAATCAAATTCATTTTTCAGACAAGTTACCTTGACTGGCTTTTGGAGACTGCTCCCATACCTACTGTACAAAGCTCAGAATGCTCTGGCTTGTGAGCAGAGGTGTGGAAAGGTTGTTAGGGATTTTTCCTCTCATGTTAAAAACTACCAAAGATCCCCAGGCCATTGCTGAAAACTCTGCCTAGCCTGTTCTTAAATAAAAATTCCTTAGCTTCCCTACGTAACTTGTTCCAGTGTTTAAGCTATTATTGGTTGTGAAAGGAGAAAGGAGGAGAGTTCAACATTGTTTTTGTCTAACTGAGGTTTGTGTGTCCTGAAATTAAGTTGTCTCCTTTATTGTCCTTAATGAATGGGAGAATGGCAGAATGTCAGCTGTTTTCTGATGTCTTAAAATTTTGATTTACCTCCCTATACTCAGTATTCTCTTTTCCAGGTTAAATAAAACAGGATTTCTCCAACCTCACAGAAGTTATGTTTTAAAACCATCTTACCCTTTTCTTGCTTTCCAGTCTCCAATTAGCTGTGTTTTTTCTAAAGGATGGTGGTAGAACTAGACTCAGTCTCCAACAGCAAAGACTGAAACTTTGGACATAATGAAATAATTCTGAAAGAGAAATATAATTCTGAAACGCATTAGGATAAAACATGAAACATCATTATTTCATTCTAGTCTTTTCTTCTGAGATGCACAATATCTTAGTGCTACATTTACATCCATGTTGTTGTCATGCTTTGCACTTCTTTCCTATTTTTCTTATGAAGATTGTAATTGACAGTTGTTGCCTGAAATTAAGTTGCCACCTCTGCAAGGTCACTGTCATAAGCCAGTTTGTGAAATGTGCTTTTTATTTCACTATTCCAATTGTTGGAATACTAAATGCTGAGTCTAGTATAGGCATTTGAAAGACCTCGTTGGTCTTTCTTCCAGTTTGACAGAGAAAACCTCATAATAACTCTTGGAATAGTTTTTCCAGACAGTTATGCAGCCCTTTAATAGAAATTTCAGCCAGACTTATGTTTCTTTAATTTGCTGGGGACTACAGTGCCGCAGAGGGCTTACTCAGAAGCTGTAAACTGAAATGCTACTTCTTTTTGTCTGTCTCCATGCCAGTCAGCCTGTCAGAAAGAGAAGCTGGCAGGGCTTGATGTGATTCCATTTTAATTGCCATATTATCCTGTACTGTTTTGAAATGGGCTACAATGTTATTTTCTTGTGCTTAGTATGGACTTTGGACTGAGTGACATTATAATTCCCTTGGTACTCCTTTCCTCTCTTGAAATAGGTGTTTGCTTTCTGTTTTTCAGGTAATTGCTAATGCTTCAGAGGATGCTTTTACTTGGTCCTCAAAGTCCACTCCAGAGTACTTAGCCTATCGCCCCTTTTCATGCAGTGTTGTGACTTTCTTGGGTGTAATGTAAATTTTTCATTTATAATCTATTAAATGCCAAGTGTAAACTGGCCTTTTTCTGCTAACACTCTTACAGTTTTAATCATCTGAGTACAGAGCTTGTACAATGTGAAAGGAACACTTCATATCACTTGCAATTTTCAAGGCAGGATGCAGGTGTCCCTTGAGCTGGCATGGGACTTCTTCAAAGTGAAGCCAAAATCTGGCTCCCAAGTTGGACTGGGTGGAGTAAGAAAAGCTGGGAGGTGAAGGAAAAGGCTGTGAGTAAAGACATGGAGGGAGCTACAGATACCACTTTCCTTTAGCCTTCCAGCACTCAGTTAAGCCTTGTTGTGGGATCTTAGCTCTTCCCAGCTTCTTCTGGTCCATTTTCTTCCACTACCTTTACTGTCCCGTAATCTTGCGTTATTGCAGCTTCTCTCCCCAAAAGAGGCTTTGCCTGCTGCTCTTGGTATCCCCCTGCCTCCTCCATGTAGGTGAGGTGGTTTTCCTGACCACTCCTTCCCCAAAGCTGTATCAGGATGAGTTTATTGTGCTTGTGACCAAATGCATCCCTAGCTGAACACAGAGAAAATTGCTTGGTGAGTGACAAGAGCTCCAGCCAACTGCTGAATATACCTAGGGTGAGGGATGGGGTTCCCCTCCAATTCTCTGTGACACCAGGCAGACAGGCAGACGTTAGGCAGTGACATCTGCCTGTCCTGCTGCAGCTTGATGTGAAAATAATTCTTTTTACAAATACTTCACCCTTCTCCCATTTTGAAGTTACTTTCAGTAACAAGATATGAAATGTTTTAGCCATTTAGATATACCGTTTCCAATTATTGTCTTCTCCATCTATTAATTCCTTTTTGGCTTTTGACAGTGTATAATGTATTATTTCATTTTCAACTACAGCTAAAATTTACCATGAAAGACATTTTCTAAAGAACAAGGTTAATTTACGTATGTTATAGAAACATAATGCCCAAGAATATCCAGTAACTCTGTGTAATTCTGGATTCATTTCTTGTGTTGGTAATAAAATTGTTAAGTTCTGTGTGGGAAGGAAGATTGCCCATAATTGCTAGTCTCGTTTTTTTCCATCTCTCTCATCTGTGGAATCCTAAATTTGAAAGAATTTTAAGTGTTCCTTCCAGAAGGAAACATCACATGCTTCCTAGCATATCAAAGCAAAGGAAATATTTTAACTTAAAGCAACAGATGGGTTTAGATTCTAATTATAAACATTGTGATACATGAGAGGAGTTTGGCAATTTACCTGATTCCATATTTTGCAAAAGTCATTTCCAGGTAATGGGTTGAGCTGCAATTAAACACTGAAGTTTAGAGAGGGAAAAAAAAAAAAAAAAAAAAAAGGCGGCGGGGGGGGCAAGAAATAGTATCAGTATTTTAAATGATATTGCATGATTTCACTGGAGAAATACAGTGTATTGCAAGTTTACAAAAGTGATAGCAACGTTTATTTCTTCATGACTTGAATGGTATCTCATCTTCATTAGGAAACACCATCATTGGGTTTTTCCAGCAATAAAGTCATAACATTACTGAAAAGCATTTAATATTAGTGCAGACAGGAGGAAAAAAAAATTCCTGTGCGCTTCCAAAAAGTGGGAGTGACGCATCCTGGAATTGCAAGGACATCTTCCAGGCTGCTGTGAGGAACAGCTGAAATGGTTGTCATTCTGCTATGAAAGCCTGCTGCTGCATTCTGCTTTGCAGGAGTGATTTTATCTTTTGCCAGCGTAGCCTGGACTCTGAATAACTGTTCTTTCAGAAATAACATTTACATATTGCCTTCTTGTATTCATAAAGATATGAAAAGTAAATATTAGGTTATGCACTGTGTTCAAAACTTTTACAAGAATTAGTTATTAAATAATTTAGGGAATTAATTATTAACTGCATTGTCATGCTTCTTTATGATCTTTATCCTTTATAGTAATCTAGTTTACCTTCCATTCCATGCTTTCTCTTTCATGCTTCTTGTCACTTTACTTTAGTGTCATTGCTCATCAGCTTTCCCTTTGAGTGTGTTGTTTACAGGCTCTGCTTTCCCTTTCAGAGTTTTCTTTCTGTTAATTCTTGCATGAAGCATAATGTAAGTTATACATGGTTGTATAGTAAGTGATATGCCTGTCCTCCAAAGGCAAAATGTATTTTTTTTTTTCACTCACGTCAGGGCTTCATCCAGTAAGTCCTAAATACCAGTGATTTTGGGAAAACTCGTGAACTTTCTTATATTGTTTTGCAGGGGTTTTCCCAAGAAAACAGGCAGAACTGCCAGGATAGCATCAGATGAAGAGATTCAAGGGTCAAAAGATGCTGTAATTCAGGACCTGGAAAGAAAGCTTCGTTTCAAGGAAGACCTTTTGAACAATGGGCAACCGGTATGAAAACATAAAACACCCTGGGGAAAGAGAGTGGTCATCAAGAGTAGCTTTTCAGATATCTCGTGTATAAATTAATTGTGAATATAGTATTTTTTATGTTTTAGAAATTTTTAATTGCATTTTCCAAAGCTGCATTTCCTTGAGTAATCAAACTGTATATTCTGGCCTATGAGTTCCCCTTGTGCTGGGCAACTTAGCTTGGAATTAGCAGAGCAGTGGAAGCCTGAAAGCTGATCTCCTGCAGCTACCCCGTGCAGCATGCACTCCGGGGGCTCCCGTAGCCTCCTTAGGGGCCCTTTGCTCTGGCCATTACCACTGCCAGGTAGCCCTCAGCAGCATGTGCAAAGCACTTTATCAAGGGTTAACAATCTACTTGAAGAGACAAGACATAGATAAAGAGAGATAAAGTGGGCAAGTGTAACAAACACTTGTAATATACTGTTGCAAGGTTCTCCATTAATTTTTGTGCATTTTAAGATATGCAGAAAAGATAAAATACTTCTTCCTGCCGAGAGCTGATAAGAAGCATCTTAGAACATCTAGAACTCTCCTAGAACTTGATTACAGTTATTAAAGGAGTGATTTGAATGTCTTTGAAGCAGAAATCTTTCTTTCTAAGAGGAATGTAATTTAAAAAACTGCATCCTCTCATCCACATTTTGTACACAAAAGGTTTTCAAAAGCATCCGAATGACTCGGGATACTTTTATGTCACTGAAAGTCAGGATGCTTTAGGTTTCCTAGCACCATATGCCTGTGTTTGTTAGAGTGTCTGAGATGGGGGCTGCAGTGCAGTTCAAGCCTGTTGCTTCAGACCCACTATTTGCAGAGGTGCCGGGTTCGCAGCAAGGAGGCCAGGTGAGGTGGGACTGTGTTGAGAGTGACTGGCACTGCGGTGCGCGCCGGCTGCACGGGGTCTGCCACTGCCCTTCAGCATTGTGCAGAATGGCCCTCGCAGTGCAGAAGTTCAGGTTTTTCATGGGAGGGGAGCTCAGCGTGCCTGATGATGCCTGTTTTGGAAAGTGAGCGAGATGTTTGGCCTGGACCTATGAGAGGAATGTCCTGAGAAAGCCCACATGGCCCCGGGAAGGCAAGCTGGGGTCAGGTGATGCGGTCGCTTGAACCGAGTTGACTCTGCTTTCGTGCTTGCCTTGAGGCTTTTGCCTTGCAGATTCCTGTCCTGGGTGATTCTGTTTGTGTAATCGTGGCTGTGGCCCTGGGAGTGATCGCAGAAGAAATTAAAGTGAAGAAAAGTTCATGAGTCGTTTAGAAGCTCATAACTAAGCCAAGATTAGTACCCAGTTTTTATAAGTCTTAGACTGATGCTTCAGCTATAATGTCACATCTTTCTGAAAGTAATTAATTTTTTTTTAAGTATAGGCATTAGGTGGAGCTAGCATTTTACAATTTCCATTTTTTTCCTGTATATAATGGAGTTCATTAACCGTGCAGTGAGTTTGCCTTCCACTTGCTGACAAAATTTTGTAATGTTATTTTGTAAGAAATTAGGTGCATGAAATGTGTTATTGAATGTAGAGGAAAAATAATAATGGAATAATTGTATTGTACACTTACAAGGGCTTTTATTTTTTTTAACTTTCTCTCTTGTGAGTATAAACTGCCACTGTGCCTTTTTTAAGCGCTGTCCTTAGTTTACAAAAGAAAAAAAAGAAACAGGAATTAAAAATGTAAAAGAATTTTTCTTTTCTACAAAGCTGTCATTTTATTTTTGACAAAATAATCAAGTAGGGCAATATCTCCATGGCATTTTTGGCAGAGTTTCTGCCCTGTAGTTCTAATGTAGAAATCGAGCAGAACGACTAGGAGTAAGATTTGGGTTGATTTGACATGCACTTGCTTGATGGCCATGCTGATTTAAGCGGTTTCTATTGCTCATTCACATCCAGGTTCCTGGCATGAGCGTGAAACAAATGGCAGTCAGGATATGGGTTGATTAAGCCAGAAGAGCCACTGGTAATGCAAAAAAAATGCATTACAACTGTAGCAGAGATTTTCAGTTAGAAACATATTGCTGCTCTCTTTTGTGAACAGTAAAAAAAGCTTTTCTTTCAAAGTAGCAGAAATTTAATTTAAAATAATGTTTGTTTCTAATTTTCATAAAAAGTTTCTGTGGGAGCCCAGGACACAGTAGCTAGCTCATAATAAACTATTTTCGAGTTCTCTAGATTCTCCCTTTGGAGAGAGAATAGGTGGCCGTCTGATTGTCACCTGGGTGACAGTCCTGGGTGATGTTTTAAAAACAACACAAAAATTGTGGGCCACACATGCCTTATACTTTCAGTCCTGTTTGTGTATATGCGTGAGGAATATTTGTGGGAAGTTATTCTTTATTGATGAATAATCATATCAGTCTTTCCTGCTTATTTCTCTTTAGTAATTGTAATTCTGCTTAGAGGATGTGTTTGCTTTCTGTCAAAAGCAATTTAATGTCACAAATAGATGAATGAATTGATGTAGTGGAGAGAAAGCAGAGGGATTATTATAATACAAAAAGCCTACTTTCTGTTTAAGTGCTTTTTACAACTAAAAACAGCGACTGAGCAATACAGAAAGTGTGGTACAGAAGCAAATCCTGTTGTTAAGCTGAATAATTTTCAGATTTCCCTGCAGAAGCCTTACTCTCTAAGTGCCTTATAATTCTTACTGAGAAACAATACATTTTTTTCTTCTTTTTTCTTCCTGTTTGTTTTTTTTTTAATTCTTTGTTCAGAGGTTGACGTATGAGGAAAAAATGGCTCGCCGATTGCTGGGCGCCGACAGCGCCGCGACCGTCTTTAACATCCAAGAACCGGAAGAGGAGCCGGCCATACAGGTGCTGCCTCACTCTGCACATTTGTAGGAAAATAAGAAAATTTTTCTTTTTCTCACAGGCCTATATAAGACAGTAAATTACACAAAATAGGATGGTTTTGATTACAGAAGTCGTATGTTATATATCAGTGAAGTAAACTGGAAGATCACATGCTTATTGCTCAGTTTTTCCATACTGAATAAGGCTGAGAGTTCTCAAATGTCTGCTTTCCACTTTAAACTCTTCCGTTAATCCTATTCTATCCTGACCTTTAAGTCTCTCAAGGCAGGAATACATTTACTATCTTGAAATCATCTTGCCTTTATGAGTGTAATCTGCACTTTTTGGATGCAGACCAAAAAACACAGCAGCAAGTCTGCTTGGAAGGCCAGGTACACATTCCCTGTTGCCTGTTGAGATGCCAGAGCTGCTCTTCGGAGCTGCATAGTGTCTGTTTGCTTATGTTACCACATGCAGTATGTTCTGCTGGTAAAAAACTCTGGGAGATTGTCATGGATTCTTCTTGGTCTTCTTTCTGCCTCTTGATCTTTTCTTCTGCCCTTACAGGAAGTTCGCTCTATTGATGCTTCTGTAGTGAGGCCTGTGGATATTCAAAAGGTTAATGTTTTCACCTTTTTCTTTCTTGTTTTTCTTATCCACTGATTTTTTTTTAACCTGTTCTCTTTACTCTATCCCTGCTACTGCTCTTGGCTAATAAGAAAAGGTCCCCTAGGTTTTAATGACTGAGGAGATGCATTCCTTATCTTAAGCTCTATCTATATGCCTAAGTATCTGCGTGTAGCGATGATGTGTGCTACTATCTTTCTGCAGTAATGCTAACATACACTGATACTAACTGTCTTGCATCCAAATCAGCTGCTCTTGTATAAAATAGAATGTGTACTTCATGGTTTGCTTTTGTGATGAACTTTCAGGGAACAAAGAAATAAAAAATACCTGGAGTAAATTTACTAAGGTCGACTTCTCTCTTATCCTATTTTTCTCCTTTATTGAGGGTTATGATTAGTTGTGTAGTTACTGTCTGTTGTTACCGCTAGTAGAAAGGCTGCATGTCATTCCTAGACCACAGTTGAAGATAGAGGATGAAGTCTATGAAAGTGGAGCTCCATGTGAAATGTGATTTTTTTTTTCTTAAATAATAAAAGGGCCAGAAACAATCATTGAAGGTCACTTTTGAAAGAGTACCTAAATTTCTGTTGACTGAGAGGACTGGCTAATATAGATTTTTTTTTTCCTCCTTTTGGACTTTTATTATATTCTGGCATTATCTTGCTGTTACTGAGAGCAGGACATTCTTACTGTAAGTAGATAAAGTGAACAGTTCAAGAAAAGTAATACTATGTGTGTCACAGTAACATTTCCCAGAATCTAAAAAGCACATTTAAATGAGAAATGGTGTTTTACACTGGATGAAACATTCTACTTTTCTTTCTAAATCTTGACCGTACTTATCACAAACTTTTTTTTTAAGGAAGAATTTGATACCTTTGGTCCAATAAAGGGGAATATGGTAATAGAAGTGAAGGGTGGAAAGTATCAGGGTTTGCCAGTGGTGCCATTTTCTCATTGTTACAAGCAACCGTAAATAAGATCATTGTAGCCTTCGGGTGCAGCCTCCAGTTATGTGGAAATTGCAGATGTCAACCAGATGGTCTGTTGGACATCTGGAAGTAAAACCTGCCCTAAATCTGTGTGTACCCTCAAGGAAATATTAGTGTATGTCTTTCCTCTTTATGAACTGCTTCAGGATACTTTTATTCTTACAGGCTTTTTAAAAAAAAACAATGGAAAGAAAGCAACCAGTGACTTTCCTTCCCCTTATAAATTAGACCTTAAGACAACATGAAATACAATTTTTGCCTCATACCAGATGTCTTCATTGTTTCATAAGGAAGTTATTTGGAGGCATGGATTATAGTGTTTTTCTTCAACAAGATACAGTTTCCTTATATATGTAAAACCCTAATGGATTATCAAAGATCAGTAGAACAAAAAAATCATTAGAAATGCATCTTACCAAGCAATGTGTTGAAGCTGGGCCGCTAATATGCACCTTTCTTGTTTGACAGGAGTATAAGGTCTCGAGCTTTGAGCAAAGATTGATCAGTGAAATTGAATACAGGCTGGAGAGGTCTCCTGTGGAGGAATCGGATGATGAAGTGCAACACGGAGATGATCCTTTTGATAACAGCGTGTCACCATATTTTGAGATAAAGCTGAAGCATTACAAAATCTTTGAGGGAATGCCAGTCACATTTACATGCAAAGTGGCAGGAAATCCAAAGCCAAAGGTAAGGAAAGAGGGTGAATATTTCTGAAAGCACTCTAAAGAGTGTCATCTTGGTACCTTACAGTAAGCCCCTGGACAGTGGACTGGGTACTACAGAAATAGCAGATGTTCTCTCCTGAGATCATAGGAATTACATGGTTGATGCCAACCGAAATCTGACTTCCATCTCTAGCATGCTCCTTCCTGAGACTTTATTTCCGTTATTTTCCCTAAAAGTGCTATTTTAGTCATTTTTAGAGTTACATTCAGGGTAAATATGTACCACAAATGCAGTATGATTCTCTAAATCCCCATGTAAGATGGCACAGTGATCCCAAAAGCAGCCTTGCCAGGTTACCATGGGTGGTTAGCTTGGGCACAGCAATGCAAAAATGTGTTTCTTCTGCTTCAGGAGCCAGTGTGGGACTCTGCTTTCTGAAGCATTGCACAGTTTATATCTACACGCCCCAAGGAGGCTAAATTTTGTTGACAGCAGAAGGCAAATTAAAAAACAGCCAGCTGTCATATATCCTGATAGCAAGATGGACATGATGGTGATGTTCATGGTAATGAACTTCGGAGGGAGGACTGGACTTGATTTCTACAAATGTAAAAGTGCCAGTTGCTGTGATACTAGTAGTCTGGAATAAAACCTCTCTTTGGTATTGTCTCTTTGGTCATGCTTAACCATTCCAAAAACTACCCAGCAATCAACTGACTGATGCTGCAGCTCACAAACAGCAGCAGCTTCTTAAACTTCCTTGCTGAAGGCAGCATCTTCCAGGGAGGTTGTTGCAGTTCTTGCTGCGACCTCTCAGATAGGGCGCCCATCTCCACAGCAGCAAGGACCACAGCTGTGTCCAAAACTCTTACCTAGGTATTTAGGTTTTTGCCTAGATATTTAGGCTTTTGAACAGAGATGAAAACAAATTATTTGACATGTCAGCGCTATCACTGGTATTGCACAAACTGTAAAAGGAAAAAATGGGCTCTGTCAGGTAGCAAAGGAAGAATAACAGGCAATTATGGTCAATGTCTGTGTTAGCAAGTGGTGCAGACCAAGAGGAGCAGATCTGTACAGTGAAATATCCGCCTGTGCAGAGATGGATTCAGGAGGTTCTAGCTTCGCGCTCGCTCTAATCTGGTCCCGTAGCCTGAAGCAGATGCAGCACATTGGTTGTGCTCTCGGAGCACATATTCTGGCTTAGTTTCATGTGCAGGGAATCCAGTTGGCGTGCTCCAAGGCTGCTCCGCGGTGCGAAGCGCTGCGAAGGCAGCCGGGGTGATCGGTGCGCTCCCTGCAGAAACGCTCTGGCCTCAGACCGAAGCTGGTGCAGGGGCGCGCTGAGGAGAGCGGCCCAGCTGGGCTGAAGCCGAGCTTTTGATGTCCGACACTGCTTTGGGGCTTGATGTTGCAAGAGTTAGGCTGGAAACGGGTGGAAGGCAAATCAGTTCATTGGCGTTGGAGGTGCAGTGTGATGGAGAGGAGTTCGGTTTGCCTGAGGCTTGTGAGTAGGATGCTGAACAACCTGTTGTGAGTCAGCCTTAGCCACCTGCAGCCGTTCCCCGATTTTCACAGCTTTCAATTAAGGAGCAGTTTCACAGTCAACTTAATCTGATCCAAGGCAGATGAAAGAGGTTGTCACTTCTTACTTCCCTCACCCTCCTCGCACGTTGGCGCTAGTGACTGCGCAGCCGGACCGGCCATCGGGAGCGCTCGCCCCGAGCGCCGGCGCTGGGGCGGACGCGTCGGGCTGTGCCAGCACGTGCGCTGGGATGAGGTTTGCTCTTGCACCTGGGACTGTGACCCTTTATTCCGCTCACTTGCAGATGCTTTCTGAGATTTCTTAAACTGCTTGCGAGGGAACCAATTTTTGGTCCCCTTGGATAGCTACTTGTGAGCTGGGCTGCGCAAACACCAGAGGCTGCAGGGCCTTCCTTGGGGAATGCCAAGGTGGCAATTTGGAAATACCTCGTGGTCAAGGGCGGCCTTTCTGCTGCCATTTGTCGAAGCTGCAAGCATCGCTGCTGAGTAAATTCTTTACTTTGGCAAATGAAAAGCTGGAAATAATTTACTAACCTAAAGCTCCTCCCTTCTAAGTGTTCTGTCGGCTCTGCCAAAGAATGGCTCTGGGAAGGACTGCAGTGTTTCTGAAATCTGGCATTCATTACGAGGGATTTTTCTAAGCAGGGTTATTGGCTTGATTATTTTTTCCCCTGAACATGCCATGTAAATTGAATACCGATGTGCAAATTCTGTCTTCATAAATATGACTCTTTAAATCTGAATCTGCTTTTCTTGTAGCCTTCAGCATATGTAAAACTATTTTCTCATTAAAATGAGAACTTTTGGCGATATGAAAGGGATTGTGGATTATTTCTTTTTAAGGAATATTTCTCTTTAGAATTAGGATATTGCTATAAAAAAGATTAAATGAGACTTGAATGTAGCACAGACCTTGTACTGCTCTCTCTTGACATGGCTGAATCTAATTCATAGTGATTAAAAATGACTGTGCTGCCCAAGATCAAAAGCCCTTTTGTACTGTGTATCCCATTGTATTTCTAGTCATTACACATCGGTTTCTGAAAATCTGGTACAAATAAAGGCAATCCAGATGCTGTGTTCAGTGCTTATGTAGTTTAATGGTACATTTATTAAAAGGTATCCTAGAAAGAAAATACTTTACAACAAGGGCCAATGTACCCAGTAGTGCTAGTGTTTTACTTATTAACTCCATTTCAGATAAAGACAGTATTAAGTATTTGCCAAGCATAAGTAAAAAACATTGATGCCAATGCTTTTAAACTCAGTGAGAATGGGTGTTGAACAACCTATGCATGGCGTTTGGATATCTGGTTCCGTTAAGATTTGCATATATTTCCATTTAATAATTCCTGGCGTGTCTCCCGATACTTCTGATAAGCGCCTTATTCTTGAGCGACGCCTCCCCGCCGCGGCGGCTTCCGGGCAGCGTCAATGGAGTCGCTTCTGCCCGCGCGTGATGCTCCTTCATATAAGCGCCGTACGTGGCAATTGATTTTTAAGGGAAATTTCCACTCGTTCCCTCCAAAACACGGCACCCTCCAATCCATTGGATTTCAGTGAAATTCAGAAGTATATCCTTAATTTCCCCTCCAAATGAATGAGTCTAGAGCTTTGAAGCACTGGCAGGTATGAACAACCTAATATTAAATTCCTTCAGGAATTATTCTTTGTTTTATCACTTATTTTTTACTGGCTAGCACCCTCCAACACACGCCACTCTCCAATCCATTGGGTTTCAGTGAAATTCGGAAGTATATCCTTAATTTGCCCTCCAAATGAATGAATCTAGAGCTTTGAAGCACTGGTGGGTATGAACAACCTCATATTAAATTCCTTCAGGAATTCTTCTTTATCACTTATTTTTTACTGGCTAGCAAACACCCTTTTCTTGCTAAAAGATGCAAGCTCTCACTTCAGGAATTGCAGTAAGGAGAATTTATTTGCTTTCCTCATGCTAACGGTCCTGGCAGTGCTGCGCCGAGTGGATTTTTATCTTTATTTTTAAGATACAGAGGAAAAAAACTCTACAAAACCTTGTTCAGAATAGTTGGAGCTGTTTTTTCCCCTCAAGTAGGAGGCATTAAAAACGCATACATTCTTTTTGTGTAATTTTTAAATTTCTGTAAGATATTATTCTGCATACATCATTTTTTTGGCTCATCAGTAGTAGTTCTTGGGTCAGCCAGAGAATAAAATTATGCATCAAAAGTAATGGAAAAGACCTCCGCTTGATGGCTAATTTAGCTTGGAACTGCAGCCTTGCTGGCCTGCAGTCACTGAGGAGCATCTAGACGCTGTTTCCCGTGCCCCGGGAAGCTGCCTGTGCTGTGGACGGTGCCCCTGACGCGCGGGTGCCACCAGCACCCGACTCCCTGCCTGGCTCTGCTGGGCCAGTCTGGGCCGTGCGGGGGGTATGGAACAGAACGGGAGAGCCTGACCTCCCTTTTGTTAATCGTTGGACTAATTATTCCCTAATCATCTTGTTTTATGCTCGTATTCTCTGAGAAGACAGCAACAGCATTCTCAAGTGCTGTGTCCACACTTTTCAGATTTAAGTAAACTAAAATTTTACTGAAACAGTAATTTTATCTGATAGGTATTTCTTCTTTGTAATGGCATTTATTTAGAGGCCTTGAAGTGTTTAGGGACCCTTCTGTCTCTGGGGTGGGTACAGCCCTTATACCTGTGTTTATGTCTTACATAAATGTTTGTCCTGCAGCCTTTCTCTCTGGAAGGTTGCTGTCCTGTCACACGTCTTTACTCAAACTGGCCTGTGCCAAACTTCTCTGAACAAGTTTGAGGGACCATTTTCCCTTTAATGCTTATCAGAAATGTTTACAGCAGCGAGGGTTGCTGGCGTTGTTAACTGAGAAATGATGGCAGTAACTGCCCCCCTCTCACCAGCTGCATTTTGTTTTTCGGTGCAGATTTATTGGTTTAAAGATGGGAAGCAAATTTCGAAAAGAAGCGATCACTACCAAATTCAGAGAGAACCTGACGGAACTTGCTCGCTGCATACTACAGCCTCCACCCTGGATGACGATGGGAACTACACGATTATGGCAGCCAACCCGCAGGTAAGTGAAGGTTTGGCTCCAGAGCAAACATGCTTCTGAACATAAATCTTTAGGAAACGATCTCATCTTACGTTTGCATGATTTAATTAAGTGATGAAGTCACCATAAACTAAGTAAGTTAGAGATTTGTTTTCATCTTGCGTTAGTAGGGTGGGACCACTCTATCTCCAAGAGATTAGCAAGTCAACACCATTTTTTCTTCCTAAGGTTTGGGGTTTCAGAGGGGAGGGATATTTTTTAATCACTGCTTCTCCTTTTGTTTCTGCTGATATCATCTCAGTGTCTTAGCACGGATAGTCTGTGTGTTATATACGTGGTGAAAAAAATCAGGGTCGCCAGCAAAAGCAGCCCAGCTGAGCTAAGATCTCCATTACTCTTCCGCTGATGCTGAGTGAGGGCACGGAGTGCAGCTCCACCAGGCAGAGAGGGGCTGGCCCTGCGGCTGTGCAGAGGGAGCTCCGCTGTGCTGGTCCCAAAGCCTGCGGCGCTGCTTGTGGAGGGAACACGAGACACCCGCTCGTGGTCACACGTGAGCAGCGTCCCGGCGCCAGCCTCCCGCTGGAGCGACGTTCCCCATCCACTGCTCCTGCAGCGCAGCAAACCGAGGGGAAGGACTGCACATGAGAAAGCAAGGCAGGAACGCAGCTTAGGGATACGCTGAAGTATTCTCTTCTGCAGCACTGAAGTGCTTGCCAAGACCAGAACTGCAAGCAGGATTACACTGTAAAATAACAAACTCTATCACTGAGACAGAGTTTAATGTAAGCAGGAGTGTTGTGCTGTGTTGTGCGCGTTGCTGGGTTACTTACCGCGCCGCTTCCATTTCTGCGCTGCTCCCTCGCCGCCAGCCCTGCTTGCGTTGCGGCGGCCGCGTGGCCTGCGTGGCGGTGCCCGCGCCAGCGCCGCGCTTCCGCCCGGGTAGTTTAAATGGTGTTTCCCCATATGCCAAACAGTACTTCAGAGAAATAGCAAACTGGAAAGCTCGACACGTAGAAGAGCATTGTGTTACAATGCTTGCAGCCGTTAAAACTGCACAAAGTCACAGCAAGTTTAGGATTGTTAGATGCTTATATACCTGCTCATGGTGGGAAACATCCTGTTCACCTCCCTGTTAGTGCTGTTAGTTCCCCTGTGCACTGTTAGTGCTTGATACAAAAGTCTTAGGGTACGTGATGGATAAACCACTTCTGAAACCTGTCCCTGGGTAATTTTTATAGCACGTTTAGGGTCTACTTCTAACATCTGTTATTCCGAAGAAAGTGTCTTCCCTGGCTGACTAGATTATCAGCAGTGCCCATTGCTGACACTGGCTTCTGGGTGGATATTTAAGGGTCCTAAAGTGAGAAGTTTCTATATTGTTCCTAGTTTGAGGCTGGAAGAAGCAGTTTTGTGGAATGATAAAATTCCATTTTTCTTCTTTGGAGAGGAACCAGAAGCATCATCCACTAAACAAAACATCTGTTTCACCAAGCCCATTAGAGCCTGTCTTCACAGTGTAATTTCCAAGTAAACATAATTATATCTCCTAGCATTAACTTGCTTTCCCTGTGTGTCCAACAGTACAGTGGAGTTAAAGAGCAGCGAGGAGTTAACATGCTCGCCTTTTGCACTAAAAGATTGGGATTCCAATTCTTTTAAGTCATCCTGAGTGGAAATAATTTTGGCTTAGTTTCCTAAATTCTAATGGAAACTTGTCTACATCTCAAGCTATCATGAAGTTAGGCAAATTTGGCAATCTTCCCTTAGGAAAAGCAAACTGCATCAATATAAGGGAGCTTCCATCAGGTTTCTGGCAAAAAATTGCTGGGCTGTGGCTGAGTTTTGATGGGGACCATTAGGACCACCAAAGCAAAGCACAGAAAGGCCTGTTCTCCATTGGCAGATGGGTTTAGTTCACCAAAGCAAAGGGTCCCGCTCACTAAAGCTCTACCTGTTTGCGCCTCTGCGGAGCTGCCCTTAACGCTACAGAGCTCCCCCAAGCAGGAGGACTTTGCAGCACGCGTTGGGATTCAGCAGTGGGAACGATGCCGGGCCCTGCAGGAGGAGGTGCCACCGCCTGGGAGCAGGGTGTGCGGCAGGGACACGTGCCTGGTAGCGCAGCCTGGAGCAGCAGCGCAAAATCCTGCCTGGCACGGCCTATGGCTTATTTTAACACAAGTATTTTTCCTGCCGACTGACTGGTCATGGGAATAAAAACGGGAGGCGAAGACTTCATTTCCAGGAGCCCCGCAGTAACACGAGGGTCGGTGCCTTTGGCGCCGGCTTCGTGACCTGTGTGAAACGGGCCGGTTGCTGGCGGCTCTTTGCAGCCCCGGGGTCCTGGGTCCTGTTTGTCACTGCTGGTGTTCACGGTGGCAGCTGTGAGCGTGGAGCTGCCGCGGGGCTGGCAGGGGAGGTGTATCTGAAGGTTCTTAAAATCAGTATCTTTAAGAAGTGATTAAAATTACTACATTGCTATATAGAAGTATCTAAGCTTCTAATACATTATACATAGAGTTTTTATTGTTGTAGCTAGCAGAGATGTTCGTTTAAATATAAAATATATTTTCTGTTGTGATTTTTAGCCTACAGGATTTCTAATCCAACGTTAAACGAGGCATTAAGCCTAACCCTGCCTATCTCCACTGGCTCCCGATGCTTTGGGCACGTTTTCCTGCAGATGCTGCTGCTGGTTGTGCTCCACGGAGTCCCCGTCTGCCCTCTAGGAGCCCTCACGTTTACAGGGCCAGCCCTGCAGGGCGCTGGGTGTGAGCTGGGCCTGCCCAGCAGCTCCGTGATACCCTGCGGAGTCACCATTTGTGACCACAGTGTCCAGCCTGTCCCAGAAAAACCAAGCACTGTTTGACTTGGGACACCCAGCAAAGCTGAACATGGAACTGGCCATAGGAGTTCACACATTTTACCAAAGCTTTGTAATTCCAGAGGGTCCCCCACGCAGGCTGGGCTCTCCGATACCCACGATGTGCTCAGGGGGATTCCTCTCCAGGCGAGGGGCTGCCCTCAGAGGGAACCTCTGAGCCCTTGAGCAGCTGTTTTGGTTTTTGTGTTTGTGGACATTTGAGCTGCGAAGGGCAGGGGACCCATCTGCTTTGGCTGCCGAGTGTCGGTCAGGACCCTGCAGCTTCACCAGGTGCCGTTCCCGAGGGTGACTGGTCTTGGTCTCTTTGCTGTCTTGCCTTTTTTTTTTCCATTTGCTAAACACAGAAACCTCCCCAATACTCCCCCACCAGTAACTTAATAAACATACTGTATTCCTGACTCAATAGCTGGTGTTCCAAATAGTCTTTTTGAAAGAAAATCTAGGATGTTTAAAAAAAAAAAAAAAGCCTTGGAATATTTCAAGCATGTTGCAGTCTGTCACAGTCCCAACTGCTGGGAGGGTGCAAGCAGATGAAATATTTTAATGTCAGAAGTGTTTGACAAATGCTCGTAGCTGGCCGTGCAAGACAAGATTGTGTTGCAGCCCTGTAGCAGGTGGACAAAGGGAAGGCATCGGGCTGGAGGTTTAGGAACAGGACTTGCTTTGGCTGCTTAATGTTCCTGCTCTCCATCCCACAACAGGGCAGAGTGAGCTGCACCGGAAGGCTTATGGTTCAGGCTGTGAATCAAAGAGGCCGTAGTCCTCGGACACCTCCTGGTCAGCTTCATATTAGAAGGTACTTTATGCCTTTTTTCCATGTGTTTGTTTTAAACATGTGTTTTGCAAAACTGTTATGATGTTATGAAGCTGAAGTAAGAAGGTAAGTTAGTGGAATGGCATACAGCAAGAAATGTCACCTCCGCTGCCTAAAAAATTCTGCATACTCAGCATTATAAACAACCTGCGAATTTACGAGACCTTTAAGTGTTTCATGCATCTTCTCTAACCACTCAGCCTTGAGACATTCCTGAATTACTCCTTATCTCCCTTAATGCTGCGAGCTGCTGGGCAAGACCTTGTTACTGTTTTAAAAGAATCTCCCCTAACTGGGAATGGGGATTCTAGCGGAAGTCTGTGCTCCCTGCAGCTTTTAGTAAGCATTCATGTAAAGAAACAGTAAAAATAACTCTGTACCACAGAGCTTAGATTTGCATTTGAAATATTTCAGTAATTTGGTGGTTTCAGTTCAGGTTCTCGTAAGGAATTAGGAGTCAGAAATAAAGTATTAAACTTATCTTTTGTGAAGCTTGTGATTAATTCACATCTGGATCTTTGGTTTAAGTCTTTGGACCATATAAGGGAATCTGCTTCAGAAAGCTTTGTTCATTGCAGAGGTTTTTATGGGGCTATTTAACACAGCCGAGACATCATTAGACTATGCGAAAAAATCATTTAGGTTAACGAAGCAGATCCGCCCTCGCAGAGCTGCCAGGGCTCCGGTCCAGGTTTCCGTGGTGGGGAGGCACCTGTTCCGCTTAATGGCTGCGCTGGCCGGAGAAGCCCAGTGCTGGGTGACGATCACCTTCGGAGATGACAGAATTACCCGTGAGCAAGGTGCCGTTGAGAGGCTTCCCCTGAGCGGTTAGCGGTGATAGCAGCACGCGTCGAGATAAGCCAGGCTCTCTTCCCTCCTCTGATAGCTAGAAAGGTACCTGCAGGTGAAAGGGGCAGGTGCCCACGCAGGGCTGCAGGGACAGTCCCTGCCAAGGCCATGAGGGA